TTTTTATCTCAATGCTGGCTCAATACAGTATTCATTATTACTATTATTTTATTACTAGTTTATTCCATCTTATTATTGTTGCTTTTTATCTCAATGCTGGCTCAATACAGTATTCATTATTACTATTATTTTATTACTAGTTTTATTCCATCTTATTATTGTTGCTTTTTCTCAATGCTGGCTCAATACAGTATTCATTATTACTATTATTTTATTACTAGTTTTATTCCATCTTATTATTGTTGCTTTTTATCTCAATGCTGGCTCAATACAGTATTCATTATTACTATTATTTTATTACTAGTTTTATTCCATCTTATTATTGTTGCTTTTTATCTCAATGCTGGCTCAATACAGTATTCATTATTACTATTATTTTATTACTAGTTTTATTCCATCTTATTATTGTTGCTTTTTATCTCAATGCTGGCTCAATACAGTATTCATTATTACTATTTTTTATTACTAGTTTTATTCCATCTTATTATTGTTGCTTTTTATCTCAATGCTGGCTCAATGCAGTATTCATTATTACTATTATTTTATTACTAGTTTTATTCCATCTTATTATTGTTGCTTTTTTATCTCAATGCTGGCTCAATACAGTATTCATTATTACTATTATTTTATTACTAGTTTTATTCCATCTTATTATTGTTGCTTTTTTTATCTCAATGCTATTATTTTATACTAATTTTATTCCATCTTATTATTGTTGCTTTTTATCTCAATTATTACTATTCATTTTACTATTATTTATTACTAGTTTTATTCCATCTTATTATTGTTGCTTTTATCTCAATGCTGGCTCAATACAGTATTCATTATTACTATTATTTTATTACTAGTTTTATTCCATCTTATTATTGTTGCTTTTTTTATCTCAATGTTGGCTCAATACAGTATTCATTATTACTATTATTTTATTACTAGTTTTATTCCATCTTATTATTGTTGCTTTTATCTCAATGCTGGCTCAATACAGTATTCATTATTACTATTATTTTATTACTAGTTTTATTCCATCTTTATTATTGTTGCTTTTTATCTCAATGCTGGCTCAATACAGTATTCATTATTACTATTATTTTATTACTAGTTTTATTCCATCTTATTATTGTTGCTTTTTATCTCAATGCTGGCTCAATACAGTATTCATTATTACTATTATTTTATTACTAGTTTTATTCCATCTTATTATTGTTGCTTTTTATCTCAATGCTGGCTCAATACAGTATTCATTATTACTATTATTTTATTACTAGTTTTATTCCATCTTATTATTGTTGCTTTTTATCTCAATGCTGGCTCAATACAGTATTCATTATTACTATTATTTTATTACTAGTTTTATTCCATCTTATTATTGTTGCTTTTTATCTCAATGCTGGCTCAATACAGTATTCATTATTACTATTATTTTATTACTAGTTTTATTCCATCTTATTATTGTTGCTTTTTATCTCAATGCTGGCTCAATACAGTATTCATTATTACTATTATTTTATTACTAGTTTTATTCCATCTTATTATTGTTGCTTTTTATCTCAATGCTGGCTCAATACAGTATTCATTATTACTATTATTTTATTACTAGTTTTATTCCATCTTATTATTGTTGCTTTTTATCTCAATGCTGGCTCAATACAGTATTCATTATTACTATTATTTTATTACTAGTTTTATTCCATCTTATTATTGTTGCTTTTTATCTCAATGCTGGCTCAATACAGTATTCATTATTACTATTATTTTTTATTACTAGTTTTATTCCATCTTATTATTGTTGCTTTTTATCTCAATGCTGGCTCAATACAGTATTCATTATTACTATTATTTTATTACTAGTTTTATTCCATCTTATTATTGTTGCTTTTTATCTCAATGCTGGCTCAATACAGTATTCATTATTACTATTATTTTATTACTAGTTTTATTCCATCTTATTATTGTTGCTTTTTTATCTCAATGCTGGCTCAATACAGTATTCATTATTACTATTATTTTATTACTAGTTTTATTCCATCTTATTATTGTTGCTTTTTATCTCAATGCTGGCTAATACAGTATTCATTATTACTATTATTTTATTACTAGTTTTATTCCATCTTATTATTGTTGCTTTTTATCTCAATGCTGGCTCAATACAGTATTCATTATTACTATTATTTTATTACTAGTTTTATTCCATCTTTTATTATTGTTGCTTTTTTATCTCAATGCTGGCTCAATACAGTATTCATTATTACTATTATTTTATTACTAGTTTTATTCCATCTTATTATTGTTTTTATTTTTTATCTCAATGCTGGCTCAATACAGTATTCATTATTACTATTATTTTATTACTAGTTTTATTCCATCTTATTATTGTTGCTTTTTATCTCAATGCTGGCTCAATACAGTATTCATTATTACTATTATTTTATTACTAGTTTTATTCCATCTTATTATTGTTGCTTTTATCTCAATGCTGGCTCAATACAGTATTCATTATTACTATTATTTTATTACTAGTTTTATTCCATCTTATTATTGTTGCTTTTTTATCTCAATGCTGGCTCAATACAGTATTCATTATTACTATTATTTTATTACTAGTTTTATTCCACTTATTATTTTATTTTATAATGCTGGCTTTTATTCCATTACTTTATTTTATTACTAGTTTTATTCCATCTTATTATTGTTGCTTTTTTATCCCAACACTTGGCTCTATATACTCTTCATTATTACTATTATTTTATTACTAGTTTTATTCCATCTTATTGTTGCTTTTTTCCCAACACTCTGGCTCTGTACACTCTTCATTATTACTATTATGACATCCATATGAAAGTCTTAATCAGACAAGGGCTTTTAAAAACTTTACCCTAGTTCTTAAGTTAATGTTTTGGTTTTGTACCTTCTTCCAATGTTGGACTAAAATTACTCCTAGTACAGTCTATTCTGTATCACTTTATCTCCTACACAAAATTTGTTATAGCTTATCCCTTTATATGGAATTATTTGAAGATTTAAGAATTTATTAATTCCACATCCCAAAATTTTATGGATTGAGGGTACATCTAAATAGATAAACAGAATATTCTGTCTGTCCGTGTGACTGAAACCCTTCTAACTCGAGTCACACTAGCTCTACATAGACATCTTAGACCATTTTGGAATCAGGATGATTCTGGGATTGAAAATCTGCCCTCCATCGGGTGCTTGAACATTCAGCATTGGGATTTGTGTTCAGATGAAGAGAGAACAGTTCAAATTTTAAAATAACTGAGAAAAAAATAGTGATTTTAAAAGACATCTTTACATTTCCAATCATTTTACAGGGAGAAAACAACTATTGGTACACTCTTACGAGATTTGGCGAGATGATTTAATTTCATGATTTTTAGTCAGTATGCCTTGAGTGCATCGTAGATGTTTCCTGAAATTTTTCAAAGGTCATTAATTAAATTATTTTCGAAAGAAGTCCAAAGTACATCAAGTGTAAATATCAAGATTTAAATCTCTTTAAATTGATCGTAAATGCGAGTGTATCTTTGTTATAGTAAATAAACGTATAGATAATATAAAAATAATATAAAAAAGCATAGTAAATATAAAAAAAAATATAATAATATAGAATATATAATCTAAATAACTAGTAAATCCTGTCTGGACATCTGTGTATCTGAAGCCACCCCCCTCTAACTCAGGTCACACTAGCTCTACATAGACATCTTATACCATTTTGGAATCAAGATGATTAAAAATCTGCCCTTCATCTGGTGCTTGAACCTCCAGCATTGGGATTTGTGCCTGGATGAGGTAAGAGCAGTTAAAAATTCAAATTTTAAAATAAATGAAAGAAATTAGTGATTTTAAGTTTTTAATTTATATTGTGCTTAAAGTAACACAAAAAATTTGTGAATTTTAGAAAATTTTTAATTGTTTTAAATTCCTTTAAAAATATCTCCAAAACTTTGTGAACTGAGAAAATCAATTTTATTTCTTCAAAATACCAAGGAATCAGAATTAAAGTGAGAGGTTTTAAATGATGTTTTAAAATTCTGTAGAGTTTTTGGTCTGAAGAACTCAACTCAATTGAAGTTCCACAAAGTTTGTGATTTGAAGAACTCAATTTTTGGCCTGAAGAGGAATTTCAGCACAAATTAGGCTCTCAGCCAGGATTAGACTTATAGCCCGAATCAGAGTCAAAGTGAAGTTTTGAAATTCCATGGAGTAAATTGAGGAATTCAAAGTTATTTCTTCAAAATTATCACTGCCGTTTTCTAAGCCGAGGTCCCTTTAGTTTTGGGCCACAGGAGCTAGCTTCAGAGTCCACACAAAATGCAGCTTTTACACTAGTTTCAAATAAATTTAGCAATACTTTATGATCCGACATGTCTGATAACACTAAATCTAATATTAAAATAACTCTATAATCCAAATAAATGATGTGCAAATAGACTTACTATTAAGCTGTGTCTACACTGTAAATTTCCATTGATATTTATCTTCTCTGAAATTTGCTTTGTGTATCCAAGAACATTTACAATAAAATTTTCTTTGTATTAATTGAAACAATTTTCTGTTTCTCCAGTGAGTGCTACGTTGTGGCCTGCAGCCAAACATTTTCTGTTGTTTGCAAATGTTTTTGCATTTTGATGTTTTCTTTTACCAAAGTTAGGAATTTTAAACGAGCATTCATTACTTGGCATTGAAAGAGTTGACCATCGTTTTTGTCTCCCAATCTTGTTCACTTGTTCTTCATTGCATTCAATAAATAAAAGAATGATTTATCAACAATGTAGGAAAATGAAACACCAATGAAAAACTGTTAAATTTCTTCAGTAACCAAAAGATAGAAAATGGCTATTTTTAAGGATAATTGAAAGATGATGAGTGAATATTAGCATTTTTGTGGCGGATGTTATTTTTGAATTTTCATCTCTACTTTTCTTATTCAGTCTATTTTTTATTTTTATTTTTTTTACCTTGTTCTCTAATTTCTCCATATGGCTTCATTTTTTTTTTTTATTCCTCCTCCTTTCTTTAGTCCTCCTCCCTCTGCCTCTTTCTTTAGTCCTCCTCCTTCTTTCTTTAGTCCTCCTCCTTCTTTCTTTAGTCCTCCTCCTCCTGCTTCTTTCTTTAGTCCTCCTGCTTCTTTCTTTTGTCCTCCTCCTCCTGCCTCTTTCTTTTGTCCTCCTCCTCCTTTCTTTAGTCCTCCTCCTGCCTCTTTCTTTAGTCCTCCTTTTGATGATTTTTTTATTTCTCCTCCTTCTTTCTTTAGTCCTCCTCCCTCTGCCTCTTTCTTTAGTCCTCCTCCTTCTTTCTTTAGTCCTCCTCCTTCTGCTTCTTTCTTTTGTCCTCCTCCTTCTTTCTTTAGTCCTCCTCCTCCTGCCTCTTTCTTTTGTCCTCCTCCTTCTTTCTTTAGTCCTCCTCCTGCCTCTTTCTTTAGTCCTCCTTTTGATGATTTTTTTATTTCTCCTCCTCTTTTCTTTATCCCTTCTTCTCCTTCCTTTATTTCTCTTCCTCCTGCTGATTTCATTATTCTCCCTCCTCCTTTTTCCACCTATTTCATTATCCCTCCTTCATCTTTTTTGTTCCACTCCCTTCTTCCTTTCACCTCGTCTTTTGTCTGATTCATTCTTTATTCATTTGTTTTTTGGTCCTACCCCTTCCTTCAACTCATTCTTTATTCTTTCCTTCTTCTCCTCCTCCCTTATTCTTTGTTTCTCCTCCTCCTCCCTTATTCTTGTTTTCTCCTCCTCCTCCCTTTATTCTTGCTTTCTTCTCCGACTCCTCTATTTTTCTTCTTTCTCCACCACCTCCATTCTTGCTTTTTCTCCTCCATTCTTACTTTCTCTTTCTCCTCCTCCTCCTCCTCACTACTTCTTTCTCTTTCTCCTCCTCCTCACTACTTCTTTCTCTTTCTCCTCCTCCTCACTACTTCTTTCTCTTTCTCCTCCTCCTCACTACTTCTTTCTCTTTCTCCTCCTCCTCCTCTACTTCTTCTTTCTCTTTCTCCTCCTCCTCCTCCTCCTCCTCTTTCTCCTCCTCACTTTCTTTCTCTTTTCTCCTCCTCCTCCTCACTACTTCTTTCTCTTTCTCCTCCTCCTCACTACTTCTTTCTCTTTCTCCTCCTCCTTCTTTCTCTTCCTCCTCATTCTGTTATTTTATTTTGTATTGAATAATAATAATAATAATAATAATACTTCTACTTCCAAATGTTTATGCAAATCATTAATATTTTATTACTCATTCATTTGTTGATAAAAGATTAAAAAAAAAACCCAAAAAACAACAAAACTGATACAAAAACTGAAATATCAAAGCTGAATTTTAGCGGAAATATTTTTTAAGTAAATATTGTCTGCAATTCTCAGCTGAGTCATTGACATTATTCTGCCAATTTTCTCAGACTGGTACTTTCAACCTTGTCGCACCGTTTCAGCTGATGCATTTTGCAGCAGTAGAGTTCATCCAGTACAAACGATGCACATGACAATGAGACGTGAATGTAACATACGGATTAAAAATTCTTGTCTCTCTTGCGGAATTAGACGGACATTTTAAAATTTTCATAAATCATGAAGCAAATGAAAAAAACAAAATCACTCATGTGTTATCTTTATATTTTATAAAACATTGTCAACCATTATTATTATTATTATTATTTAAATAAAAATGTATTTGTTCAAAATGGGAGAAACTTTGCAACAGAACCAAGAAATGAAATGTTCACCTAATACAAGGCCTAAAGAGCCACTCTGGTAGAGTTACTAAATGAAATTGTATGGCTTTAGGAGTGGGAAATGCAGATTATGAGGATACATGAAATAGGTAACAGTTGAGCCTAGAGTTGGTCAGTCCCAGTGATGTTGGTGCTAATCGCTGATCGTTGAACTCTCTGCCTTCAGGCAGGGAGAACCCGAAGAGGCTGTCAAGGGTGGATTCTCTTCGGGAGGTAATTCACCCCTGAACCCGCCTAGGCGGGTTCAAAAGGCTCATTTTTTGGCTGCTTCCACGGGCTCGGAGATCCCACGTTAAACTGGCCTTGTGCCACATGATGCCCTCGTGGGGGTGATGACTAAGTATCGTTGAGTCTAGACTTAATGAAGTTGTAGTATTCTGGGGAGCATTCTCTCAGGAGTCCGTTCCACAAAATAGCAGCTATTGAGAAGAGGCTGTTTGAATGGAACTTGCTTCTTACTGATAGGAGGCTATTTTACCCCCTGTGTACCTGGCATTGTACGTCCGAACTAGAGGAACTAGGGAATGTAGGTCGTCCGAACTAGAGGAACTAGGGAATGTAGGTCGTCCGAACATTTTCCATGGAAAGAGCAATGAGAGGCTTAAGACAATGCATCTGCAGGAGAGAGGCTGTAGGGTGGAAAATAATTAATCACCCACAAAGCTGCATAAATGCTTTTGAAGTCTGTTGAGACTGGAAAGAGAGGATTGGGTAGCTCCAGCCCACATACAGCATTATTACTCCATTTACACATGCCATCCTGGGTAAGACATTAAACTACATTCGTGTTCTGGGTAAGACGATAAACTACGTCCAGCAGCAAGGCCTTTTTGAGGAGTGTGGAACCACCTCTTGATTGCTGGGCTGGTCTTCTCAGATCCACCCTGACCAAGGGTGGTAGTACCTGTTAGGGTCCCAGCTATGGGCAAATAGTTAACCATTACCAGCAACACTTTTTTGAAAAAATTATTACCAGCAATAAAAAATTTTGTCAGTATTACATAACCTATTGTGGTTGATATGCAATAAAATAAACCAAACCAAACCATTTATACATGAGTAATCATATGTGGGTATTAAAAGGAATCGCCTGTATATTTTTTATGCTTATCTTATGCACTCAGGAGAGTCTAGGTTCTCGAGAATTAGAATTAGAAATTCTGTCCAGATCCAGAATCCAGGGTATATTCCTCTCTATATCTTTTGATGTTCCTGGTTTTTCTAAAAGCTCTTAAGTTCTAGTGGTGAGGTTTTCATTTGAAAGCACCACAACTGTATTCTGTTTTGTCGTGCTTAAACTAAAATTCCTGTTCAATAATGGATGTCACAGATTACTTCCACAATGAAGAAAACAAATTGGAAGTCCAAACTCAAGGTCAGGGGCAGAAAGAAATGCCCAAATCTTGATTTGCAGGTCCTGTGTCACAAATCACAATGCATGTAAAAAGTCAGAAAAATAACACTAGCCAACGGATGCGGTAGCAAAATAAAGAAATTTCTCTTCAATTTGAGAACACCAACAGCTTTTATTGACGGAAAAAATTTTTCATTCATCGACAAGTGGGAGAGGACACACAATATCAGCATATCCGAGATACTTTGCATATCATGCAAAATATGTCCCCCTTTTTTTCTGATGGTTATTTTTTTCCAGGCTCTACTTCAACAGATAATTGCCACCCTTAAATTACTAATCTTGGATAATTAGGACCCTTAGGAAAGGTATGAATCTTTTTCTTCTCTCCCCATCTATGGGTAAATAGCAGGACAGACTGGATTCTATAGCCTTGGACAGCAACTGGTCTACCGCAGAAAGAAATGGCAACCTACGCAGCCTTTGTGAGCTTCCGAGTCGGCATCTGTCGAACTCTCTGCATTAGCAGAGAGGAACCCGATCTAAGCTTTCATTGAAGGGGCAAAGTTTCATTCGGGAAGTAGATTACCTGAATCATCTTAGGCGGTTCAAAAAAGTTATATTTTGGCTGAGACTATATCGGGATACCCACATTAAACCGGCCTTGTGCCACATTCTATCCCTCGTGGGTGGATTGATAAATACTAACCTACTGAAGAAAAAAATCTGCCTCGTCAGTCGTGTATCGAATGATACATTATCGCCTAAGAATGTATCAGGCATGGCACATAACTGACTGACTTATGATAGGCAGAAAAACTAACACATAAATAAAAAAATAACACATAAATATGATTTGACTTTTCATTCAAGTTTTTAGCCAAAAATTGATAAATAAAAATAAATTTATGGTTTGTTGATTAAATAAAAAATTGTTCTTCAAATTAGATTCAAATGTTTTCACATTTAGAGAAAAGTAACACAAACATTGAAAGTCCTACCTTCATTCTTCAGTTCGGTTTCACTCACCAGTTTAAAAAGGATGGCTTAAGTTTTGTTTTTGTTCTCTTTTAATTGTTTCATCACAAACAAGATGATAATGCCACTAAGATGCAACAGTTTACTGGGAATGAAAGAAAATGAGAAGATGTGGAGTAAGTAGCCATGGTCAAATTCAAAATGAGTAACAGAATTGTCCAAATTTACAAGAACAGAAAGGAAAGGAACCCAGGCAAGCAAACAATATATGCAAATCAACAGTAATATGGCAAAAATTAATTAACTAAGAATTAATAATAAATAAACTAAGAATTGGTGTTAACACACAAAAGCAAGTCCAGACAAGCAAATGTAGCATTCTGGCTTTGAGGCATGACAGACTGGGATTGGGTCAGATGAAACCGAGAACCGGCCTATTTTATTGGCCAGTAAAAAATTCCAGCATGTATTTATGTGCTTCTACCTATAAATTGTGAAGGGGCAAGTATTTTGCAGTCATTCTGCACTAAATTGGAATCAATACCTCCCAATCAAATGGATGAGTGCACTCATTTATCACCTTCCAATTCCCCCCCACTTTCTATGGAGCCAATAAATACAAAAAAGATATATATAGCCATTTAACATATATATAATTTGCATATGTAACAAAAAAAAAAGTTTTTTTTTTTTTTGTTTTTTTTTTTATTTCTGCTTGTGTATTTTTTAATATTTATTTTCAACTTTATCGCTCTCTCACAGACGTACCATCGCCTCTCTCTGTCTTTTTTACAAATACTTTCATGGCAATTGCTCTGAGGAGCTGCATTCGCTGGTTCCCAGACTTCATGAGTTCAAGCGCCCTACGAGGCTGGCATTCTCACCCTTTCACTGTCAAAACTCCTAAATGTAGCCGTCTCTTCTACTCCAATAGCTTCATGTCTCGCACCTCTCGCCTGTGGAACTCCCTTCCCTATTCCAGTTTCCCTGAGAGCTATAATCTCCAACTATTCAAATGTAATGTCAATTGACATCTCCAGTTGAATTGATCTATGCATTTATCTATAAATTTTTGAAGAAAAACTATTACCAGCAATATATTATTACCAGGAATATATTTTGGCTAAAAAAATATTACCAGCAATACATTTTTGAAAAAAAAATATTACCAGCAATAAAAATTTTGTTGGCATTAAATAACCCATTGAGGTTGATATGCCATAAAACAAAACAAACGAAAAATATGTCAATGAAACCTGATCTACAAACTGAAAATCTTACAAAGAATACATACTCTATTCATACGAACCTATCCTAAAAATCTTGTCAGCAATAAATAACCCATTGAGGTTGATATGCAGTAAAAGAAAATGAATCAAACCAAAGAATACATATTCTATTCATACGAACCTATCCTAAAATTCTTGTCGACATTAAATAACCCATTGAGGTTGATATGCTGTAAAAGAAAATGAATCAAACCAAAGAATACATATTCTATTTATACGAACCTATTCTAAAAATCTACTCGGCATTAAATAACCCATTGAGGTTGATATGCCGTAAAAGAAAATGAATCAAACCAAAGAATACATATTCTATTCATACGAACCTATTCTAAAAATCTTGTCGGCATTAAATAACCCATTGAGGTTGATATGCCCTAAAAGAAAATGAATCAAATCAAAGAATACATATTCTATTCATACAAACCTATCCTAAAAATCTTGTCGGCATTAAATAACCCATTGAGGTTGATATGCCGTAAAAGAAAATGAATCAAACCAAAGAATACATATTCTATTTATACGAACCTATTCTAAAAATCTACTCGGCATTAAATAACCCATTGAGGTTGATATGCAGTAAAACAAAACAAGACCAATCAAGTAAGTGGTTGAGTCTAACATTGCAAAAGGTTTTTTTTTTTTTTTCTTTATTTTCATTGGTTTTAAGATTTTGACCAGCAGTGTATATTTGAGTTACATTGATGGATAGGAGGGGAAAAATTTTGGTTCAGGAAGATAATATCCGTAAGGACAATTTCTAAGTCTCAAAACTAAATGGAAACAATAGCAGAAACAATGATGGAATTTCTGCAGAGGATTCCCTGGACATTTACAGACAAAATACAATTTACCATTCCTTAAATCAACATTCATATATTTACTAAGTAGTTTTGGAGACAGAAGTTTTGTCTGTGGGCTTCACATCCTAACTTTAAAAACAATTTCACATTAAAATGGAAGAAATGATCAATTAACTGACAATGCTTCATCTGAAAAA